CTTTAGATGTAAAAATATCAAGTTTGAGGGTATCTTCTCCTAATCAAAACCAAAATAACTAATTCGTGTGCTCTGAGTAAAAATTGAAATTAGCTCCTTCATTGATCAGGAGATGAAGCACCTTCCCTCCGAAATCTGACGCTGAACAAGTATGGGACATGAGTTCAGTTTTATTTCATTATTATCCTCTTACCTTTGTAACTGCTTCACGTTGTTTCACTGCTATTGGAATGATTTGCAAGGGCAAATGACGATGCCCAAATGATGTAAATGAAGGTCTGGATTAATGACAACTGATGTCAAAACCTGAGAATGTGGATGCAAATTGCAGTTAGAACTAAAAGAAAGTTAAATGCCAGAAGACATATTAAGACAAAGGATTAATCTCCAAAATTTATAAGCAGCTCATGCAGCTCAATAACAAAAAAAACAAACAACCCAATCCAAAAATGGGCAGAAGACCTAAACAGACATTTCTCCAAAGAAGATATACAGATTGCCAACAAACACATGAAAGAATGCTCAACTTCATTAATCATTAGAGAAATGCAACTCAAAACTACAATGAGATATCACCTCACACCAGTCAGAATGGCCATCATCAAAAAATCTAGAAACAATAAATGCTGGAGAGGGTGTGGAGAAAAGGGAACACTCTTGCACATTTGCAAATGAATCAACTGACAAAGGATTAATCTCTAAAATTTACAGGCAGCTCATGCAGCTCAATAACAAAAAAATAAACAACCCAATCCAAAAATGGGCAGAAGACCTAAATAGACATTTCTCCAAAGAAGATATACAGACTGCCAACAAACACATGAAAGAATGCTCAACATCATTAATCATTAGAGAAATGCAAATCAAAACTACAATGAGATATCACCTCACACCAGTCAGAATGGCCATCATCAAAAAATCTAGAAACAATAAATGCTGGAGAGGGTGTGGAGAAAAGGGAACACTCTTGCACTGCTGGTGGGAATGTGAATTGATACAGCCACTGTGGAGAACAGTATGGAGGTTCCTTAAAAACTACAAAAAGCTAACACGACATTTGAAAGATTTTCCCGGGGAAAAAAAGGATGAGTCGTGTGGCGTACAATCACGTCTCAGCCCTCTTTACACTGGACCCTTCTTAGCCAAATTGAAGGTAAAAACTAATTAAAGTAAAATGTGGTTTTTATGTGTCTACGCCTTTAAAGCCTCTCAAGAAAAAAAAAAGGTGGGAGTGAATTCCCTGGTGGTCCAGTGGTTAGGAACTGGGCAATTCACTGCCAGGGCCGGGGGTTCGATCCCTGGTTGGGGAACTAAGATTCCCACAAGCTGTGCGGCCAAAAAAATAATTTAAAAAATTTAAAAACTAAAGCATCTCAGGCCTCAGAGGATGATGGAAGAGGACCTCCTTTTGAGCTGGAAGCACTTTCTTCCCAGCAAGGTCAGCTCTGATGTTCGGTATGGTTTTCTTAGAGCCCTGTTTTCACAATGACTGGGCTTTTGACCACAACCTAATAAATGTCCCAAAGGACTGAATCGGAACCACACACGGGAAATGACACAAGGACAGTGACCGCCCCCCCCCCCACCCCGAACACGAGGGCATCCTGGCTGGACCCTGAGAGCTAAAACTGTCCCCTCCAGTCCTGCTTCAGTCACTCACCCTGAGCGCCCCTGCTCTCGGGTGGGAGACCCCTCGGTGGGGCGCCTGGCTGCCACAGTCCCCACTTCTAGCCTAGCCCAGCCTGACCTGCAAGATCAGAGCACAGTCAACGCCTGCAGTCTTCACTCGGCCAGGTGCTCTGGGCGCCGACGCCCTTGACCTGGACCTCCACAGACCTTCTCTTGTAGTAGGGCTGGTCTCCGGCAGCTGTTCTCTGCTCAGCTGCTTTGTAGCCTGGCTCTAATAGTGCCACCCTCTATCTCATGCAGATTTTCATGCCTCTTGGCTTGCATGGGACCTCTGAAACTAGGGAGTTTTTTAACTTTTTTTTTTTTTTTTTTGCGGTATGCAGGCCTCTCACTGTTGTGGCCTCTCCCCTTGCGGAGCACAGGCTCCGGACACGCAGGCTCAGCGACCATGGCTCACGGGCCCAGCCGCTCTGCGGCGTGTGGGATCTTCCCAGACCGGGGCACGAACCCATGTCCCCTGCATCGGCAGGCCGACTCTCAACCACTGCGCCACCAGGGAAGCCCTAGGTAGTTTTTTAAATAGATAATTAAGATCTTACTGAACCTACATGTTGACCCATGTGATGAGCCATTTATTGAATGAGGACCTTCCAGAGGTTCAAAGGACCTTCCGTTCCTTTGAACAAGAGAGCTATCATCGTCTGGCTACGTGGAGATGAGGACTTTCTAACAGATGGCCGAATCTCTCCGTGAGGTTGACAAATTTCTGTTTCCCATTATTGTTGTCTCAGTGCATAAAATCCCCCAATTAAGTGCTACAAAACTTGCATATCTCCCCAGTGAGGATAGCAGCACTGCGTCCCCTTGTCGGCCTTTCATTCTTGTCCCCTTTCATTCTTCCTTGTAACACTACCCTCCTTTCAATGGCTGTTGAGTTAAACTCATACTCTACATTGAACCGATGGCAGAAACTTGGGAGTTTCACTTACAAATCCAAAATTACTGAGTATCACTCTCAGTGGCTTAGCCTCCAAAGCTACCTGAGTCAGGGTTGGGGGAGGGCTGAGCCATAAGGTGGAGGGTTTCCCTTGTCCTTCCTTTAAGTCAGAAACCAGACCTTCTAGCTTCCAGATTCCTGAGTATCCAAAGGAATGTCCCAGGAAGATGGCTGTTACCATCCAAAGACTTTAGTAAGCGCTCTCCAAGTACAGGGCTGTGATAAGTACCAACCAAAGCACACTAACCAATCACAAGGGAAGCTCCCCTGAGCTGATCAAGCTGCCAGTTTATAGGCCTATAAACTGTGGAACTAAGCAGAGGCTGGGCCCCCTGGCGTAGATTCCCCTGACAGCCTGTACTTTAGCTGTCGTAACAGTGACTTTGCAATTATTCGTGTTAACAGCTTTTCTCCTCTACGGGCTGTCACCTCTCAGAGGGCAGACCTTGTCCATCACGACCACAGCTGTATCCCCCAGGGCCTAGCGTGATGCCCGCATATAGTAGGTGCGCAGTAAATAATGGACGCATGAATGAGAAATGGATGGACGGAGCGGAATACATTCACGGTCTTGCATTCATTTTCCAAAGAAGACAGACATATTAGGAGCAGCAGGAGAACAGACGTGGATCATAGAGAAACTGCTCTCCCTCCAGTTCAGCTGAGGGAAGCCTCACAAGTGATTCTTAAACATCTCTTAAAGGCTGATGAGCCTATTTTCCTACTTGGATTCCTTTTCTATTAGCCCTTTATTCAATGAGCTTTTGTTTCTGACATCTTGTCTTCCTTCATTCTAGGTTTTATGCTTTCAGGCGGTGATTGCTGCCTGTTGTTTTCGTCGCTGTAATGTCTCAGAATCTTTGTGGCCGTGGGCTGTTCATAGATTTTACCTGGAGAAACTCCGTCGCTGTCCACACCTACCCAAGATGTCACTGAGACGTGACAGATGTAACTCCTGAGACATTTCAGGTTCTCCGTCAATCCATCATCCTGGAGCTCCTCCAGGCTGAACAGATTCCATGTCCTGAAACCCTTTTGCCAATGAGCAGCCCACAGTACACTTCCTGTTGTGATAACAACTCTTACTGAACAGTGAAGAGAGTGGCTTTCTAGTGGGCATGTAGCCAGACCCTGAATCTATCTGCCCTGTTTTGAAATAGAATATCATGCAGAAACATTGATCACATGGGTATCAAGTGTTCTGTCCAGATTTCCATGGAGAATGGGCTGACCCAAACCTTCAGAAGAGAGGTCCCAGGGCTGTAGAGAGGCTGGGAGGGGATGTAGGATCTTCCTGTGTGAGATGAAGGCCATTTTCCGCCACTCCCCTCCGACTCCCACCCCGCCCCAGGCCATCCCTGCCTTGAAGACCACGGTCTTGTTTCCAGAAGCAGAACATTCGCCTGCTACCTTCCTCTTTGCATATTTACGTAGAATTCAAACAGTCAGGCGTGAGGACATGTGTGGGAGTGGAAGGCGCAGCCACAGCTCTGGGCAGGGCGCGGAGAAGCCACCACCTCCGGCATCTGGAGGATGCACATTTCCTGTGCAAAGTGGGGGGCCCTGGGCTCCCAGTTTCTCGATGCCCACAATTAAAGGGGAAATGCCCCACACCACATGGATAGAACTGAATCTGTTCTCTGCGACATATAAATAAACGTCTCCAGTACGATATGTGAACCCAAGAGGCGTGGTGACATGGAACTTATATCTTATTATTCATTCTCAGTTTCCTTGTTCTGTGAAGCTGCCCTGCTTCATCCATCAACTCAGAGGATGTTATCGTTTCTGAGTAGATCATTTTCAAAGCCTCAAATCAGAAAATAGAAGACTTCATTTCCATGATAATTTTTCTTTTCTCACTGGAGGAAGTCCTACCCATGATGACATCATATTCTTGCTTCTGAGGGGAATAAACCTATAAAAAATAAATACGTGGTTGTCCCAGTTACAGAAATGGATTAAAAAAAAAAAAACTAAGCAGGTGATAATCAGCAGTTGTGGAAAGAAACTTGGAGGAGGGTTTTGAAATCAAAGTTACCCCCCAACAAATAACCTCACTGCAAAAGAAACTTTATGCGGGCTTCACTGGTGGCGCAGTGGTTGAGAGTCCGCCTGCCGATGTGGGGGACGCGGGTTCGTGCCCCGGTCCGGGAGGATCCCGCGTGCCGCGGAGCGGCTGGGCCCGTGAGCCATGGCCACTGAGCCTGTGCGTCCTGAGCCTGTGCTCCGCAACGGGAGAGGCCACAACAGTGAGAGGCCCGCGGACCGCCAAAAAAAAAAAAAAAAAAAAAAAGAGAAAAGAAACTTTATGCTTATGCTCAGAAACGGGTGTTTAACTGAAATTATTTCTTTGTTATCTGTTATGTCACAGTGGAGATGTCGTTGCCTTTGAAAAATCTACGAATTATAACAGCATTCTCCAAGAAGGAGGAGCAGTGAGTGTTGAATAAAACAGATTTGTATGATAGACCCTGGAATATTCAGAAATTGCTGAATTAGATGCAGCTGTTTTCCTGTGTGTAACATTCTTATTATGGGCAGCCCTCAACCACTCACCCCTCCAGCCAGGACTGTTGCGTGTCCACTGTGTACACACAACGTGTAGG